CCCCCCCCCCCCCCATCCTACCGCTCTGAAAGGCTCATTTATTATTTCATTCATTTCCCTCTGCAAATTATCTCTGCACCCCCCCTCTTTTGTATCAGTCATAACCTATGTTCTCAAAGTAAAATGGTGAACAAAACTAGCATCTCTGTCCTCGAAGACCTTCTATTTTATAATGAAAGAAGCCAGCACATAAGAGAAGTTCTGTGAAAACAGGTATGGGGGACCAGCAGATGGCATTAGTGGTTATGTCGCTAGACTCCCACATAGTCGACTGCTCTTCAAGTCCTGGACCTGTCAGCTAAAACCTCATGCCAGGCGCATATGTGTGCATGCCCAAAGTCCTGAGAGGAGAATGGAGGAGAAGGGATTGAGGTGTGGCCTCCCCCTGGGGGGGTGATTTCTTGCTTTCTGTCTCTCTGTTTCTCTCTGTCTCTCCGGCAAGCCTAAGTAACCTATAGCAAGAATCTCTTAAAAAAAAAAAAAAAAAAAGGTAAGAATGGGGGCCATGTGGTAGTGCAGCGATAAAACACAATGCCCTGCTAAAGCTCACCCACAATAGAGTTCCAGGGTTGCTCTGGAGACCTCCCTAACTACGCTGGACACACGCATGCCCCAGATCTTGGGCCAGCTGACACTGGAGGTGGGTTTCAGCGAGAAGCCCATGTTGAAGATACCGTTTCTCTGTCTCTGTCATTGATAGAAGAAATAAGTAAACCTTCAAAGAGAGAAATGTGTGATTACTATGTATTGAACTTTTTTTTTTTGGGGGAGAGATTTTCGCTATAGGGCGTGTGCACTCGCCAGACAGACAGAGAGAGACATTAGAGACAGAAAGTGAGAAATCATCCCCCAGGGGGGATGGTTACGCCACAATCACTTCTCCTCCATTCTCCTCTTGGGATCTTGGGCACGCACGGCGCACACGCGCCCGGCGTGAGTTTTAAGCCACCGGGTCCCAGATACGAACCGAGGTCGACTACGTGGGAGTCCAGCGACATAGCCATTAGGCTAAGTGCTGGTTCTCTATGTATTGAACTTTCACAGTGCTAGACAGTGTCATCTCATCATGCCGTTAGCTCTTTTTTCTTTTTGGAGAGGTTTTTGCTATAGGGTGCGTGCACTCACCAGACTGAGAGCAACAGAGAGACAGAAAGCGAGAAATCACCCCCCAGGGGGGATAGCCACACCACAATCTCTTCTCCTCCATTCTTCTCTAGGGATCTTGGGCACGCATGCATACGCAGCCGGCATGAGTTTTAAGCCACCGGGTCTGGGATGAGAACCGTGGTCGACTACATGGGAGTCCAGAGACATAGCTATTATGCTAACTGATGGTCCCTTCATGATGCCATTCACTCTTCACACCGACCCTTAAAAGGAGTATGGAGGAGGCACAGTGGTTGTGAGTGGACATATATTGCCTCAGCTTGAGTCCCACCTCTGCCACTTGCAGCTGTGTGATCTTAAACAGGTTGCCTTCTCTTTATGTGCCTCCTTTTCTTTCTCTGTAAAATAGAGATCCTACCTTATAGGGTTGTTGGGAGAGTAATGATTTAATGTATTTGTAGCTTGGCACTTGGTCCCATTTTACAGATAAATATATCATACACTGACCAAACAACTTGTCCCAGTCCATTTTGCTCATAAAACACAGGAATGAGAATTCCAAATCAAGTCTCTGCCCCTGTAGAATGTTCAGTTACCCACAATTCTGATTTGTTCTTCAAGCAAAGTCTCTTAATCCCTTGGAGGATCAGTTTCTTCATCTACAATCTGGGCATGCATCATACCACACTGCCTCCGTCTCAGTCTGTTGTGAAATTCAAATGTGAGGAGGATATTAAAAGTACTTTGGAAACTGTTAAGCACTATGGAATACAAGTAGCTATTATTATTGATTTTTTTTTATACATACCACTTTAATTTTCCTTTTGCTGAATCCCATTTGTTTATTTGTCAGATAACACTTTCTGTTTAATCTTTTGTGCTCGGATTAGACCCGTTAGCCTGGGAGCCTTTTGGTATTTCCTTATAATCCTTTGTTGACCAGCCCACTTTTTTTTTTTTTTTTTTTTAAGGATTTTTGCTATAGGGCATGTGCGCTTGCTGGAGAGACAGACAGAGAGAGACAGACAAACAGAAAGCAAGAAATGACCCCATAGGGGGAATGGCCATGCCACAGTCCCATCTCCTCCATTTTCCTCTTGAGATTTTGAGCATACATACACACACACACACACACACACACACACACACACACACGATTTTTAAGCCTCCAGGACTCAAACCACAGTTGCCCATGTGGGAGTCCAGCAACGTAACCATTACACCATCTGCTGGTTCCAAGCCAGCCCACTTTTTGAAGATGATTTCTTCTGTTAGTTCTGCTGTAAGTGGAAGAGGAAATATAGAAGAGAGGAACTTGACATCATCTACAATTTGGGTTATTTGTTGAATGTCTTGTGAAAGTTTTAGTTGTACGGGCAGAGGGTACAAACTTTCAGAAAGCAAAGCAACAGAATTTGACATGAGTAAACCTAGTAAAAGGGGAATTGATTAAAATGATAGAGGACATCTTAGCAAATCTACAATAGCCAAGCATAAATGCACTTTAGGGAAACCAAGTTATGGTCCCAGAACCTTTTCTCCTTGCTAGCCCTAGCGACCTCCTATGGGTTTTAGATAACCCAAAAGTGGCCCATCCTGTCATATAACTTAGAAAATGATTTTATCCTGGAAAAGTCAAGTGATTTCACAAAAAGAAACCATGGGAATTCTGTAACTCAGTTCATAGGATTCTATTTTGACCTCTATTTCTTAAGGATCAACCCAAGTCCTTCTCAATGCACAGCATGAGGGGAAGTAATCAATTTCCCTCTTTTCCAGCATCATCCAGTCTTTGGCATCCATGGTACTGCACCATCTAAAGAGTTCTGACCACGTCACACTTTTGAGAGCCCAGACCTAGATCACTTTCTTTTGGGGAATGTAGGGAGGAGGAATGACTCGTCCCTAGTAAAGTCATACAAGGACATAGAAAAGGTCTGAAATTACAGAGCGCAAGCAGAGCTGTCCTAAAATAATTATCAACATTAGAACAGACCCAAGAGTACAATTATATGTAGATCTCTGCATTTAAATAGTGTAAGTTCTTAAGCCAACTGGTTACATTGGTAAGGGAGCTGTATCCCACTTGGTCACTGGTAGTTCGAGTCCTGGATCAGGTAGCTTGAAAAACACATTGGGCACATGCCCAAAATTCCAAAAGGTAAAACGGAGAAGAAATTACAGCATGACTGTTCCTCATGTATGGGATGGGGAGGTGGGGGACAGTGTGCTTTCTTACATTCCCTTTCTCTTATTCTGTCTCTCTCCAGTGAACACATGTACCCTCTAGCAAAAATTTTAAGAAATTAAATAATTTTTTATGGTAATAAGGGATGATCAAAAGGAGAGAATTCTAAAGAGTGCCTGGTGACCTTCCCCATTGTTGTTCCTCAGGCTTTAACAGTGTTCCTTCATATTAAGAAACTAAAGCTGACATAGCCTCTTGTCTCTGTCCCTCACACTACACCTGAAATATTATTCTGCTTCTCTACACAGGCTAACTGGCACATGTGTTCATTTGTTTATATGCCTAAAGACCTTCAATAGGCAGCTCAGAGGGAGCATGCTCAGAAGAGACTGAGAGCGAGCCCAAAGGGAATAGAGAAAGAATGTAATGGTGTCATTAGCCAATGAATTGGCTCTCCAGAAGTCAGGTGTCTGTCCTTGCCTGAATCAGCCAGGATGGGGATAGTGACCTTTGGAAATTTTTTTATTATTGAAGACATTTGTGAGTTGTGCACCTTTCCAAAATTTCTCTATTTTTAGTAATTTCTGGAATTTAATTTCCCACACAATATGTCCAGTTCTTATCTCTTCCCTCAACTCCACAAGACAGGTAGTTAAGGATCAGTTATGTGATTCCTGTAGTTATTAGGGACATTCCTAAATGTAGCAATGTAAAGATTACTTTATAAATATGCGCTAATCTCTTTGTGAGTGGAGTGACTCAGAATCTTACATACTCAAAGGTTCTCTCTTATCAATAGCAAGTCTTGAGCACACTCAGGCTGACATTTTGAAAACAGATTTACGTCGGCTCTGTGTTTTGTACATCTAGTCAACCAGCCAACTCTGTGATCCCACTATACTTAAACTCCAAACATGGAAGAATTCCTGTGCCCCAAGTAGTTTGAATTTAGAGTGGATGGTGACATATACACATTTTCCATATTTTGTTCAAGTTTTGATGTAAAATCAATCATTAAATTGGCTCCCAGAGACCAAAACCAAAACAAAAACAAAAATACCCTTCTAGAGCTCTTCTGTTACTATTGCGTGTAAAAGTTTTAGCTGCGCTCTTTCTAACTTCCTTTTCTGGCAAGGTTGTGTCTAGCAGCTACCACTCAGGAAGGCATTCTAATTGTAGCACTAGCTTAGCCAAAAGGCCATGTTTTTGCTTTAGGGTAAACTTGTTAAAATTGGGAACTCCGCCAGGGTCATCCATCTAAGAACATTGTGAAAGCATTTTAGGGTTGTTCATCTAGCTACGGTCTAATTAATTTTCAAATGGACAAAGTAGCTTCTTAGGCCATGTAACAAGCATTTTCATTCATTTAAGCAAGCTGGATTTGGCTCAGAGCAGGGTCACGAGAAATTCTAATGGCTCCTTTTCTTCTTTGTGTGCCCCCAGGAGAGCTTGCGTTGATGTCAACAAAGCAAGATTTGTGCTTCGGGCAATTGGAGTAGAATCAGTTTCTGGAGAGCCAAGTTCTTTGACTTCCCCTAGAAGGAAAGGGTATGGAATGGAGCATATGGGAAGGCTCTCTAGGCCCTTTTACATTATTGGATTTAGCTACGCTCACATAATGAAATTGTTGAGATTGTTTAAACCTTCTGCAGGGACTTCTGTTAGCAGGGAAGAAACTTGTACTAAAGCCATAAGAAGATTGTATTATAGATATAATGGAATCTTTTTTATCTTTTGCCTGGTTTTCTACACAGGGACTAACTCTCCCCCTCCTCCCCACTGTCCTCCCTCCAGGCATGAAGCCAAAGGTCTCTTTAATTTCTACTTAAAATTTCCCATGGTCACTAATACTGTTCTCCCAGATGGTAGTTTTTATAAATTAATAAATAAGACAAAGCCAATAAAAGGTTGTGAATTCTTGAATGCCTTTTTTTTTAAGGTGGTTATTTTGCAGAGTAAACATAGTAATATTTCTAGAAAGTGTGTTACTGAATCTTGTGGACAATGTTTTACTGATACCATTCAAACATGAGTAAAATACTGTACTTATTTTTGCCTTGAGATGTCATGATTGAATTTGGCTTGAATATAAAAATGCAGGTTTACTTGCATCAGATGAAGTCCTATGAACGGTTGAATTTGTAACACTTTTCTATTTTTATTTAGAATTTTTGAGTGGGAGTGGAATTTTTTTTTATTTAAAATTTTATTTACTTTAAATTTTCTAGGTTTTCAGCAATTACAAGAGAGTTTTTTGTTTTGTTTTGAAACAGAGAGAAAGAACCCAGATGTTAGAAACATTAGTCAGCTCTCATACTGTCAGGACAGTTTAACTATAAAAAAATGCACCTTGAGACCAGCAGTTGGCATGGTGTTTAAAGTGTTGGACTTTTACATGGCTGACCACAATTTGAGTCTCAGACCTGAAGACTTGTTCTCTCACTCACTCACTCACTCATTCTCATTCTTTCTCTCTCTCTCCCTCCTCTTGTCAAATTAAAAAATAATAACAAAATTAAATGAATAAATGTTTTTAAAAAATAATAATGTACCTTAGTGGACACTGTGTGTTCCCGGACAAGGTTGTCCCATAAGAAATGGTTTGGCCATCAGAAACCCTCCACCCCTAACATTCATTTTGAGTGCAGTGTTGGTTAAGGCTCTGGACCCTACATGGCTGACTCCATAAAGTCCCGGACCCAGCCAGTAACATGAAAACATCCTCTTGTGTGTGTGTGTGTATGCATGCGTGCGTGCATGTGAACATGCATATGCCCAAAATCCTAAGAAGAAAATGGAAAAGGAATTGTGGTGTGGCCATCCCCCTGAGGGATGATTTCTCACTTTCCATCTCTCTCTCTCTTTCTAGTGAGCCTATGAGCCCCTTAGCAAAAGAGAAACAGAAAATTCACTCTTTGTTCTAACACCTGTGAAATGAAAGTGACAGCAGATGGGTTCCCTTGCTGCAAGTTTATAAATAACAACCTTTGTTTACTTGGCCTCGTACTTGGTTTTGTCTTTGACAGATATATCCACAGCTTAGAATGATACCTTGCCTTAAGAAGGCCTGAATATTTCGGGGGGTGATTTCTCATTTTTCCTCTCTCTCTCTAGTGAGCGCACATGCCTAAGGCAAAAACCTCTCAAAAAGAAAAAAAAAAAAAGGATTGAATATTTGTTCATTCAACAAAATATCTGCTGATTACCTACAAGGTGCTAAGCACTATTCCCAGCATTGAGAATAGATAAGACATATAATTTGCCCTCTACCCAGGTATGTAAGGTGAATCCAAGAATTTTATAAATCATAGTAATTTATCTATAACAATGCTTACTGTGATAGAAGCTTCTTTTGATAGCTTACAGAGAAAAAATACTTTCTCTTTTATAAGTAAGACCAAATATTTCAACATCATACCATAGACTACTTGCAATAGAGAAGCAGTTCTTATTGTTTTCACTGTAATCATATCACCACTCTGTTTGTGATTAAAGAGGCATCAGGCTTTCAAAGAAAAGAGTAAATTAGGGCTCAGCTGCAGTGGTAGGAGTGGTAGGGCACCACCAATATGGCTGAGGTCACACGGGAGGTCTGGTATCACATCCCAGACCAACCTGAGCAGGCTGGATATAGTAGCACCCTCTTGCAATGCTAGCTAGCAAGGAGGCTGAGGCAGAGGTTTGCAAATGCAAGACTCTGTCCAAAAAAAAAATGCCCATCTCTCTCTCTCATTTTAAAAAATTATTTTTTTCATGAGAGAGAAAAAGAGACAGAGACAGAGACAGCAACTGAGAGATAGCACCCCTAAGAGAATATTGATCATATGATCTAGCACCTAACTTTAGCCAGCCTGGGATTATAAGCATGTGTCTGGAGGACTCAGGCAAGTCTCTGGATATAAATCTGGAACCTTCCCATTTATGTCATTGTTGTGGAGTGTCACATTTTACCACTGTGTCACATGGAGACTACTGCCCGCCCCCTTTTTAAAAAGACTGAATTAGTTTTCCCTGGTTAGAGAAATAATAGTTTTTCTTTTTTAACTTCTAGACCTATAATGTAAATTGCACAGTGATATATATCAACAATATTTCTCTTTAACCCACATTTTATGTTGTGTTCAAGATTAAATGAAAAAGGATATTCTCATAAAGCCAGCAAAAACAAAAGTAAGATTTTATGCCAAATATAAACATATTTCTGTTTAGCAAATAGCAGGAGTATATAAAACATTCTCATTTCTCACATAACAAAATGTTCTATGCTTACTGTATTAGTTAACAAATTCAAGTCTGTTTATTTTGCTTGAAATTCTACTTCGTCCATAAATTAGAGCATTACACAATAACACCAGAAGGACAATATCACCATTGTTTGCTTTTACAATCATTTCAGCCCACAGAATTTTGTTCCATTGTCATCTGGCTGTCATCGAGCCTTTGTTGCTTTCCTCTTTCCAGGGTGTCCCTACTAATATCGTTCAAATTATTTAGACACTCCACAATGTTTTTGCTATCAGTGCAGACTTCTGAAGAGTTAGAGCCCTGGTGTGATGACCAAATAACCCTTGACTATTTATCTTTCCACAAGTCATTATTTCTCCAGCCCTGGAGAAGCTGAGTTGCAGTGTGTACACTGCAGGGGGAGAGAAGCTTCTCCTACTGAAACTGGTTTGTTTCATTGGACAATGAAGCCCTTTCTGTTTGGCTCTGTCTATGGCCATGTACACAATGAGATGGTTCAGGCCAGGGGGGAAATTTGGCAGCTCACTCGTTTATAACAATGATACCCAAACTTCCTAGAGTAAGAAATTTTTGAGATCCCCCCAAAATATTGTTGTACACTTATTACCATATGAAAAGGAAGTCTCTCTAGTTCCCCAGTTTTTCTCCTTACAATTACATTCTCTTATTCACTCTGTCACTATGTATTAAGTGCTGCCTGTGTGTGAGACATGGCGTTTGCCACTGGAAATGCAGAAATATATGGGACAGGCTCAGTTCTTGCCCTCAGGGAGCTGATGGCCTACTGAGGGATACAGATGTTTCATTTTTTTTAAAGACCATTCCTATATACATACACATGTAATACATGGTCTCTTTTCCTGTTTTGTTTTGTTTTGTTTTTTTGCAATGGGGCGAATGCACTCCCTTGGTGGGGGGGACCCACACCCAATCCCTTCTCCATTCTCCACTTGGGATTTGGGGCATGAATGCACACATGCCTGGTATAATTTTCAAGATGCTGGGTATGGGACCTGAACTGTAGTTGGCCACGTGGGAATCCAGTGCCTTAACCACCGCGCTATTTGATAGCCCCCACCCTTTCTCATTTTTTTTTGAATATAAAGGTGACTTATTGTACATATGCTTTTGTGTTTTTGTGTTTTCCTGTAGTGGTATAGAGAATGTGTATTTATTACCATATAGAGCTCCTTCTTCCTTCCATATAGCCCTCTGATTTTATTTCGGGAATGACCTCTTCCTCATTTTGCATACTCTTATGGGATAATAAATCAGGTCACCTGTCCTGTGGTAGCAAGGGCTAGGTATGTGACCCATGTTCTTTTCTTTAGAGGGAATCTCAGCGCGAACAACTCCAGGATGGAAACAACACTTGAAGGGCATTGCCCACACCCAGACAAGATGATGGGGCCCTCCCCGAGGCCAAGTGGTCTGGAGCTGCTGGTCCCTGCTCTGCTCTCCAGCTTCCTGGCCATTCCCCAGACCAACTCAAAGTTCCCCAAATTATTTCACTTTTTCTTTTGTAAGCCAATTTACTTCTGTTGTTTGTAACCAAAGATATTTAACCGAAGACATACAGCAACACAGCATATAGAACTTACTTTAGTCCTTGCTAGTACCTGTCATTCCTTTTTATTGATGTGTCACAGTTTATTCAACCAGCCCCCTGTAAGTGGATGTTTAAATTGTGTCTAGTGTTCTGTTATTAAACATTTCAGAATATACATCTATACGAAAATGTACATTCTTGGATTTCTACCTTTGGACAAATGTGAATGTATTTTGCGGGGAGATAAATTTCTATAAATGCAATTGTTGGGTCAAGAATTTATACATTCTAAATAACATCAAATAGCTCCAAAGGCTCTCAGTAAGAGTAGAAACTACTGATTCAGAATTAAAATAATGGGAAAAAATGACAGTTATTGGTAATAATTCTTTATAGTCATTAGGTTGAAAAGGTAATTTTTTTAAGTAGCTATAGGGTGTGTGTGCTTGCCAGAGAAAGACAGAGGGAGAGACACAGAGAGAGGCAAAGAGAGAAGTCACCTCCCAAGGAGAGATGGCCAACCTGTAATCTCTTCTTTATTCTCGTTGGGATCTGGGGCACGCACGCACACACACATGTGACTTTTTCCCATGTGGGTCTAGAACTTGAATCATGTCCTTGACCAGGTAGGATCTATCTGCCTTAACCCACTGTGCTAAAAGCCCTGAAAAGGTTGGTTGGATGATTGGTTGGTTGGTTAGTTAGTTAGTTTTAGGTTTTTGTCATTGGGCAAGTGCGCTGGCAGTAGAGAAGACAGAGGGAGAAGTGAGACATTATCCCCAGGGGAGGATGGTCACACCACAATCCCTTCTCCATTCTCCTCTTGGGATTTTGGGCATCCATGTACACACGCCAGAAGTGATTTTCAAAGCCGGGTTTGGGACTTGAGCTGTGTGAGTGAGGATGGCTATGTGAGAATCCAGCACCATAACCACCACACCTGATCTGCTAGCCCCAGAGAAGGTCATTCTTAGTGAATTTAAGAAAAGTAATACCTGGGACCAGCAGTTAGCATAATGGCTATGTCCCTGGACTCCCATGTAGTCTGCGGTTCCAATCGGTGGCTTAAACTCATGCCGGGCACCTGTGCATGCATGCCCAAGATCCAGAGAAGAGAATGGAGAAGGGATTGCGGCATGGCCATCACCTCTGGGGGGTGATTTCTCGCTTTCTGTCTGTCTGTCTGTCTGGCAAGTGCACGTGCCCTATAGCAAAAACCTCTTCAAAAAAAGAGAGTAATACCTGCAGTAGTTCCTACCCCTGCCATTTGCAATTTCACCTTCGATGGTTCAGTTCCCGAGAATCAACCATCATCTGAAAATATTAAATGGATAAATCCAGAAAATAATTAGTTTTAAATTGCCCTCCATTCTGAGTAGCATGGCAAAATCTCGAGGCGTTCCGCCTGAACGTGAAATCACCGCTTGGTCCTGCAGCTGCGCCCTGGGGCTCCGGGGTGAGTCGCTCAGCGTTGTTACAGATCTCGCCCGCTATCGTGATGCTTGTTCACAGAACTCGTGCTTTACCTCACTCGGCTACAGAGTGCGAGGCGCGATCCTGGCCTTTTAGAAATGCCGTAGAGCGCTTCTTTTGACGGAACAGTTGAAAATTCCTAACTTAAAAAAGGAAAAAAAAAAAGTCATTTTACTGAAGTCGCTTAGAACTATGGTAAGGATGACTTGAGGTTTAGAATAGTTGTATTTTCCTTATGATCTAAGTATGTTACTTTTTAAGTTGCCCTTTTTCAATGCCAGTAGTGGTTTTTTTTGTTTTTATTTATAAAACTAGAGGTTTACTGAGTTCATGGTGTGAAGGTCTAAGGTCCAGGGCCTGTAGCTGGTGGATGTATTGCAGACAATTCCATCATGAAGAAGAGCGCAGAACAGAGTGGCCATCCATGAATCTCTCTACCCATAGTGTTTTTTACTTAAAATACCGTTTGTGTTATTTCACAGATTTCATTTTATTAATTTACATAGCATATCTTTTTTCTTTAAAAAAATATTTTGCTTTTTGGGCCAGCAGGTTGTATGGTGGTTAAGGAACTGGCTGGCTATTATGCTTCAAGTCCCAGACCTTGATGAATCATGCCAGACTGTGTGTGTGCCGCCCAATATCCTGGGAGGAGAATTGAGGAGAAGGGATTGCAGCATGTCTACCCCCTGGGGGAAGATTTCTCACTTCCCTTTCTCTATCTCTGATGAGTACATGTGTCCTATGGAAAAGAACAAAAACAAAACAAAACAAAACAAAATGCTTTTAATTTGTTATATGTAGGTCTTTTAAATACTATATGTGTGGGATTATTTTTTATATCCAGTCAGATAGTCTGTTTTATTTAAATGGGGCTTTTTTTTTTTTTTGGAGAGGTTTTTTTGCTATAGGGCGCGTGCGCTCGCCAGACAGACAGAGACAGAGAAACAGAAAGCGAGAAATCACCCCCCAGGAGGGATGGTCACACTGCAATCCCTTCTCCTCCATTCTCCTCTCGGGATCTTGGGCACGCACGCACACGCGCCCGGCATGAGTTTTAAGCCACCGGGTCCGGGACGCGAACCGCGGTCGACTACGTGGGAGTCCAGTGACAGCCATTACGCTAACTGCTGGTTCCTAAATGGGGCATTTTGTACATTTATAGATAATGCACATTATTGACATATTACAGACTGTTTTCTCTCTGGCCTGTCTTTTTGCATTATTTTGAATGAATTAAATTGAAAGTCTATATTTTTCTCTAGGAGTTTAGAAGTTCTACTTATATACTTCTGGCTTTTTTTCCCCCCAGAGCGTGCATACACTCACCAGAGAAAGAGAGAAATAGAAACTGAGAAAGAGAGAAAGCACCCTGCCTCCCCCATGGGGTATGGTCATGCTGTACTTTTTTCCCTCCAATTCTCTATTTTATCAGGATTTTAGGCACACACACACACACACACACACACACACACACGCAGTATGTTTTTTAGTGTAATTAGGGCCAGGATTGGACCCACAATAGGCCATGTGGGATCCAGCTTCCAGTGTATAGTACTGAACAATGCACCATGGGGCCCACCCTTTATTTTTGAAGTTTACATGGTGGTTATTATCTTTGACTTATCAAAGTCTGGTATTATTTTTAACCAATCTTGAACCTTAGTGCTAGCTGCTTTAGTGATATTTATTCCCAACTGATTAATAGGAAATTGTATATTATAATTATGTATTTTAAAACCAGCAGGACATCAGTATTATTGTTATGTATATTTAATATTCATTCGGCAAGATCTACATATTTACCATTTTTGTTGCTCTTCATCCTTTCTGACATCTCTGTTCATTCATCTGGGATAATCTTCCTTCTCCTTAAAAAATACTCTTTAAGGGACCAGCAGTTAGCGTAATAGCTATGTTGCTAGACTCCCATGTCGCTGGACCATGGTTCAAGTCCTGGACCCGGTGGCTTAAACTCACACGGCGCACGTGTGCATGCGTGCCCAAGATCCTGAGAGGAGAATGGAGGAGAAGGGATTGCAGCATGGCCATCCCCCTGGAGGGTGATTTCTCGCTTTCTGTCTTTCTGCCTCTCTCTTTCTGGCAAGCACACCCACCCTATAGCAAAAACCTCTCAAAAAAAAAAAAAACAAAAAGAATACTCTTTAATATATTCTTTAGTAAGTATCTGTTGGTGACAAATTCTTTTAGTCTTTTAGGATGAAAATGTCTTTATTTTGCCTTCATTGGGAATTAATTTTCTTAATTTGCCAGTTTGACAGGTGATAATGGTATTATACTGCTTTAATTTGCATATATTTTATATATTTACTACATTTTTTCTTTCTTCTTTTGGGTACTTAATTTCTTATAATGTTAAAAGCATCTTTTTTCTTTCTTTTTTTTTCCAGGAGAGGAGGTATATTAGTTTGTTACTGCAGTGTTAACAGAAATACTGGGTTTATAAAGAAATAGAGGTTTATTGATTCACGATTCTGGTGGCTGGAACATGACCAGCAGAAGCAGAGTGATCTCAGGCACATGCAGAGAAAGAGAGTAAGCCTCACAGTTTACTTATAACAACCTTCTCTTAAGGGAGTAGAATTAACCCCTTCTACCAAGATCTCGAACTCACTCAGTTCTCCTATGAGACAGTACTACTTCATAAGACAGTTTATGATCCAGTCATTACAATCCACACACTCCACTAAGACCAAATTCCAAACATGAAACTTTAGGGAACAAATCATTATCTACTCCATAAGAAGAAGAGAGACTAAATTCTTCAAGCATCTGAGATTAAAGTGTTACATGTATTTTTGGTAACCTGTCTGTATATTGTACAAATGTGTCCATGCAAACCCAAAAATGCAAGATACCTGTCTAGAAACTCTTAGCTCTTCATGTGGGCAAGCATATATTTGATGTCACCAAGACTTCTAAACCATTGTGGACAGTTACTATATTTTGACAGGACAAATTTTGTTCTTTGGTAAGGTTGATCAATTCAGAAGGATGCTTTTGGCTCTTAAAAAGATGTCTTTCTACCATAAAAAGATGTCAGAAAAATACCAATTATATTAAACAACTACTTTATTATTCCTAAATGCAATAATGAGAGAAAACCTGGATGATAGTCAGTGTTTTAGAACTAAAAGAGACAACATAGTCAGAGACCCAGGATTTCCTAGAGCTTGTATGACTTAACAGGTTAAATAATATCTTCTAACACTTCCCATACATAAAAAATAAAGATATGCCCAAAATGACACACAAAAAATTGTAATTTTTTTAAAGTTTGAAAATTTCAAATTAAAATTCTTAGCAAACATCCAAAATATAATGCAGCATAATTGTGTTTGTCACAAGTAATAGTTTTTATAAGCAAATATTAACACAATATTATAGACTGTCTATTTTCTATACTTGAGTGTCTTTCTCTGATTATATACAAAATAATACATAGAGCTTATGTTTAGGAATTGGCATCTAAGGTGCTTGGTGACTGTAAAGGTCAGGCCAAATGACCTCCATCAGCCTTCTTCCCAACCCCTATTGGTTCTGTCAGTGTCCATTCTCATTCAACTGATGACAACATGGAAGCTCAGAAGACAAATTGC